GCGTTTATAATTTCGCATTGCGATTATCTCGTTGCGATTTTCATTTCGCATTGCGATTTTCATTTCGCATTGCGATTCTTTCGTTGCGATTTTCATTTCGCATTGCGATTTTCATTTCGCATTGCGATTTCCATTTCGCATTGCGATTTTCATTTCGCATTGCGATTTTCATTTCGCATTGCGATTCTCTCGTTGCGATTTTCATTTCGCATTGCGATTTTCATTTCGCATTGCGATTCTCTCGTTGCGATTTTCATTTCCGCATTGCGATTTTCATGTTGGGATTTTCATTTCGCGTTGCGATTGTATTTTCCGTGTTGCGATAGTCAAATGCATGCCTAATAGTGATAACAACTGAATAACAAGAGTTGGTTAAGTCAAAATGGTTGGCCTGAGTCATTAATTCAACTGAAAATGTTAAAAGTTCACACATAAAATCCACATAATACAACGTTTGCATTTAAAAATCACCTAAGTTAACAGTCTCAAAAGGTGAAGCCAATCGTGATTGGGATTTTAAAGATGATTGCCTTTTGCTTGACACCATATGAGCTTTGGATTTTGATGAGGATCCATATTTTGGTAGAGGAAAAGATGATTTTGATGGCACTGGTGATCCACATGTCAACCTTGTATGACCACTTTCCTTGCACCGACTACATGTCGATCTCTTCTTCTCTTCACCCTTAGACGGTATACGATCGTGACTTTTTGGTCGGCCAGGTAGCCTTCTGTCCATGGCTGGTGGCAAAACTGTTTGTAAGTCATCTGGTATGTCCCACTCAGAAGGATGTGGAATAGGGTAGACAATCTCGGCATAAGTCTGTCGATAAACTTCTGTAGTGTAGCAATCCATAGCGTATGCGCTTGAATCATCTTGGTTTAAATGAAGAGCAACTTTTATAACATGGCCACACGGATAACCAGATGTTTGCCATTTCATACAACTACACGTCTTTGCATTTAGATCGACTAGCCCATTTAAGTTATTATCCAGTACTTGAAACAAAGTGTTTGAACATGGTTCAACTCTCCATGACGTTGACTTCACAACACGTTTCGTTATCTTTTTTTCAGTCCATGGTGTAACACGATGTTCCAATGTTCCTGTAAATTTAAATAAACAATACTTAGTAAATATATAAATATGATAAGTTACGAATTCAAAGAAATAATACCTGCATGGTTTCTTTTCTTGTAGTACCACTGTTGAATAGAGGCTCGAAAAAACTCCATTAACATAGTAATGGGTAATTTCCGGGAATGACGACTTAGAGCGTTGATTGATTCTGCACTATTAGACGTCATGAAACCATATCTTGCTCCAAGTTGATGTACTCTTGACCATCTTTCAAACCCGACATCTTCTAGTGTTTGAGCACACTGAGGCAAAACACGTCTTAAACAATTTATATGCTTATTGAAATCCACTTCCCGATAAGCTTTTACAGCCTTCCAGTATGTCCATTTGTGTTTTTTTATACCAGCAGACCTTGATTTTAGATTTCTATACAAATGAACACCACAAAGTCCATGAAAAGCATCTGGGAAACACCTTCTAACAGCGTTGTCAATTGAGTTTGCCCTATCGGATATGATTGTCAGATTGCTAATAGGACCTATGCAATCCCTAATATGCCCCATAAACCATGTCCATGAATCAGAGGTTTCAGATTTGCCAACCCCGTAAGCTATTGGCAATATCCCATTGTTAGCATCCATGGCTACTGCTAATAAGTTTACTCCAAGGTATCGACCTTTCAAATGTGCTCCGTCAACTATAATAACTGGGCGCATGCAAGTAATAAACGAACGAATCTACAAAATAATATACACAAGAAATATAATCATTTAAATGTGAAATGCATGTAACTAACAAAAATGAGTCAACAAAATTATATTGATTTACTAACCGTAGCACCAATGGCGATAAACAACAACTCAAAGCGTCCATCTCTATCTGTTTTGATATGAGTTACCGACCCAGGATTTTTCAGCTTTAAATTGTGACAATAAGCCGGCAGTTGGGCAAACGATGCTTCTGGCGACCCCCTCAACAATTCCAAGGCATAACATTTGGCTCTCCAAGCTTGAGAATATGATATACTAATCTTGAACCGAGCATTCATGTCAGTCATAATTTCATGTCCCCGATATACCCTGCCATTCAAAAACATTAACTCAGCCAGAAAACCACCCAACACCTTTTTGTTTGCCTGTCTATGGTGAGGAAAAACGAGGGTTCTTGAACATGTATGTTTATCAATAAAAGTCCTAACTTGAAACATTTTGCAATCTTTTATTCTCTTTGCAATCATACGCCACGTACAGTTTTTGTCAATCATACACCTTGTTTCGAAACGATCTTTGCTTGATTTGTTAACTTTTAGTTGATAGCCATCTTCCACACATTTTGTATACAAAGCTATCTTCAAGTCTTCCTTTGTATCAAAACAATCATCTTTCTTGACACGAATAACTTTTGTGTAACAATCAACTGCTTTCTTTGCCAACTCTTCTTCCGGTAACTGAAGTAATTCTGGCATATTCCAGTTATACTCCCGTGGCATTTTCTTTTCTTCGGGGACTTTTTCTTCTTCTTTTTCTTCTTCAGGATTATATGAATTACAGAATGGATGTTCAACATGTTCATTCACAGTCGTAACTTCCTCCTCATTATCATCAACAACATCTTCCTCGGCAACGGGTGTTTCATCATCAAAATTCGGGTATTGACCAATATTAAAATCATTACACACATGGTCTGTTTCTTCTTCTGAAACATCATCAAAATCCGTGTATTGACCAATATCAAAGTCCGGATATTGACCAAGACCAAATTTCGAATACTGACTAGTACTCACAATTTTTTCTGTTGGCTCATCATCGTCTAACTGGTCAATACGAAAACCGGAATTTGGTGCTGAAAGTTGATTGGGATTTGGATTAGAGAAAGGTTGTGGGTTTTGAGAAAAACTTAGTTGATTACTAACCGCTACTGACCCAACAATACTACTTCTAGGTTCAACAACATACAATGTAACATCATCTTGTGAAACACTAATGTAAGCAATGAATCGTTCAACATCTTCATTGTCGGTTAACAAATAAACTTTACCATTTCTCTGATAAGATAGCCTAAATCCACTTAGGGGCTCTAAATTCAATTTATTTGAAACACGTAGCATTAGAGTTTCATAAGTTAACTTTTGTAAAGACAATTTTAGTTGAAGATTCATGGGTAAAGGCATATATTGTAAAACACCATGAACATTATCCCATGACCCTCCAAAACACAAATCTATCCAAACATGATCAGATGATTTCATGGTTGTAAATTAATTTACTAAACAGACGAGCTGCGAAACTAAAACCTGTTGCCGGATTGGGAAGGATGTCGTTGGATATAGGAACGGATGTCGCCGGAGAGAGTGATAGATGGAGATGGAATGAGTTGCGATTTAGGGATTTAGTTTATGATTTCAGTGTTATATACCCAAAATTTCAGTGTTGTGATTTACAGATTCTCGTTGCGATTTACGGATTATCGTTGCGATTTACAGATTCTCGTTGCGATTTACGGATTATCGTTGCGATTTACGGATACGCGTTGCGATTTACGGATTATCGTTGCGATTTACGGATACGCGTTGCGATTTACGGATACGCATTGCGATTTACGGATACGCGTTGCGATTTACGGATACACGTTGCGATTTACGGATACGCGTTGCGATTTTATGTATTATCGTTGCGATTTACGGATACGCGTTGCGATATACGGATACGCATTGCGATTTACCCATACGCGTTGCGATTTACGGATACACGTTGCGATTTACGGATACGCGTTGCGATTTATGTGTTCGCGTTGCGATTTTCATATTCGCGTTGCGATTATTGAAAATCGCAATGCGAATTTGTACTATCGCATCGCGATTTTCAAGAATCGCGTTGCGATTTTGGAAACTGATTTGCGATTCTGGGGATCGCGTTGCGATTTTGTTGGTCATTTTGGCAAATCCAAAAAAAGTTGGTTAAAATCGTATATTATAACTTTTTTTTGGTCACTGAGGCGATTTTCTCTAATATTAAATATGTTCAATGACGTGGGTGAACTTACATAACCGGATAAGTTATATACTTTAAAAATATAAATTTATGTAATTATTAAGTGGTTTCATTAATAAAATAGAGTATTTTTCTCTTTAGCGACTTTAAATTCGAATAATTATATTTATAAAATGTATATACATTGTTAATAAATAAAAAAGATTTTATATTCATTTTATATTTTTAAAAAAATATAAATCCAATAGAAAGAATCTAGAATTTTGAAAAATAGTGTAAATAATTAATAAAATATTTAAAAATATAAGATTTATAATTATTTTGAGTTTTATATATTTAAATATATCGTTCTTCAAACATAGTTTTAATGAAACTAATTTTACAATAGAGTAACTATTTCTTATGAGGTTTCATCCCATAATTTAGAAATACTAAAGTTGAGTTCGCACTAAGTGATGCTCATAACTCAAACTAGTGTCGTCTTACTATATCGTTTGATTTAGGAAAATGAGAACACAGAATATAATTTAAGGTTTAAACTAACACTCATAAACATCCGTTTGTTATAAAATCTATATATATTATATGGTTAGAAAATTTTCTCACATCTCATTACAGATATACACAATAGTGATATAAATTTAATAAGTTATATTATAAATTTAAAAAATGTAAAATTATAAAAATATAAAATTAAATTATTAATAAAAACATAAATTATATAAATATTTAAAATTTTCAGAAATATAAACTACATCCGTCCATCCTTGCATGTCATGTCCTATGATTTCTTCTATAAAAGCGCCCCTCATTTATCACAATCCCTGCCGTCAAGCATCGAAAGAGCCAAAGCATCTGCCCGTACGGCCACATCGACCCAAAGAAACATACGACAATAAGAGCTTAAATAATATATTAAAAAAACAGACATGTCTTGTTCCCAAGCAAGAAGGTCATCAGATTTGGTTTCAAATCGTGATGAACGTCGATGGGTGATAAACATCCGTACGTTCCTTGACGATGAAGAAGATGGTGAAGGTACTGAAGTTCTCGCATCGATCCACAGTGTTCCCAAAGCACTGATTTCGAGTAACCCAGAGTTTTACACCCCACAAATGGTTGCTATCAGCCCTTATCATCAATGGCGTCCGGAGCTTTACGAGATGGAGAGATACAAGCTGGCTGCTGCAAGACGAATTCGAAGGCAATCACGGCCGTCTCGTCTTTCGTTCCCGACGATTGTTCAACATCTGCAAAAGCTCGAGACGAGGATCCGGGCTTGTTACAACAAGTACTTGGACGTCGAGGATGAAACTTTGGCTTGGATGATGGCCGTTAACGGTTCGTTCTTGCTCGAGTTTCTTCGAATCCATGTTTGTCGTGAGGATCAAGTGAGCATGACGATGTCGAAACTGAATCACGACTCGATTCTCAGAGACGTTGTGATGCTGGAGAATCAGATCCCCTTGTTTGTGCTGCGAAAGGTGCTGGAAATCCAATACTCATCGTCGGAAACAGCCGATGATATCATGCTTTCGATGCTGAAGGGATTTTCTGGCGAGCTCTCCCCTTTCAAAACAATGGAGACGATCGATGTTTCGAAATGTCATCATATTCTGGATTTTCTCTACCAAATGATCGTCCCTAACCTTGAACAAATACCATCCGAAGATTCCGAACAAGTCGTCGAATTGGAAGAACAGAAGGAACACACAGATGAAAAAGAAAGCATTAGTTACAGGAACCAGCTGTTGATCGAGATATGGACGACGCTTTCGAAAATGACTCAGTTGCACAAACCGTTCCGGCTCATACTCAATTTCCCCTGGAAAATCCTATCAAACATAATGAAAGAGCTAAAGAAGGAAGATGACAATTCCATGATAGAAGAGATCACAATCCCATCCGTATCTGACCTCTCGAAAGCCGGTGTCCGTATCGTCCCGACGAACGGAAACATCTCGACGATCGGTTTCGATGTCCAGACCGTCACATTACACCTCCCGATCATCTCCATAGACAATAACACCGATGTCGTCCTAAGGAACTTGGTGGCATACGAAGCATCGTACGCGATAGGACCGCTGGTTTTCGCCCGATACACCGAGTTAATAAATGGAATCATCGACACGGAGGAGGACGTGAGGTTGTTACGAGAAAAGGGTGTTGTTTGGAATGGTTTGAAGAGCGACAAGGAAGCTGCTGATATGTGGAACGGGATGAGTAAGTCCATCAGATTAACCAAAGTCCCGTTGTTGGATAAAGTGATTGAAGACGTTAACAAATACCACACTGGCACATGGAAGGTTAAGCTCAATAACGTGTTGAAGCACTACGTCTATCGTTCATGGCGGTTCCTCACACTGCTGGCGGCGGTTGTGCTTCTGTTCCTGTCGACATTCGAGGTCTTTTGCTCGGTTTATGGCTGCTCTCGAGTCTCGACTCTATGAAATCCAAACCTCCAGTGTCGATTAGTCGCGGTTCATCTCTTCATGTAGCAATAATAGGGTAGATTATTTTCATTTTTTAATTATGTTAAAATGATTAAATCGTGAAATTCTTAAAAGTATTTTTAAATTTATTAAGTTGTTGTAAAATAGTTAAATAATTTAATAAATATTTTATAATTTTTAAAAATTTAATTATTAAAACGGTTATTTAAACATAATTAATGATATATGTTGTAATGTATCCATAATAATATATAGTGTAATATATAAGATTGTATCTTAATTCATTTGGTATGGTTGTTTAAAGGAAGAGAATAATCAAACTATCGATAAAAAAACAAAAAACGAGTCTAAAAAAACATGTCATAAAAATATATTAAAACGTGGCTGGTATAAAGACGAAGTTATTAGAAATTAAAAAGTAAAGAAAAATCAAAGATGTTATATAAGAAAAATAATTGAGTCTTAATTCTTTAGAGGTATGAGCTTAATGTATAATACTTTTTATTAGTCTTGGTTCGTGCATATATATATATATATATATATATTGTTATGTTAGTTAATTAACTAATTTCAAGTCGAATTAAACGATAATTGAACTTTTAAAAAAATAATTAGTAATTGTTAACTTATCCAACATCTAATTATTCAACCAATTAACTGAAATAAAATTTAGTTCAATTAATTAATTTGATTAAACTGAACAATGAACATTCCTGTTAAAAGTTTTAACTCCTAAAATTATCCTTGATGTTGATTTTTGAATAGTAAACATTCTTTAGATTAGAAAAAACCTAAATACTATTAGTGCTTTGATATCATTGTCACAGAATGTTAGTAAATTGCATTTCCTATTAAACAATTATAAAAAAATATTACTATGATCAAACATAAGTTTAATGTGCAAAATTAAATTTACATTAGAGGTTAAGTGTGAAAACAAAATTCTTAGATTTTGACGACGTAGAGTGAGTAGAATACTTAAACAAAATATTTCACTTTAATTTAACGTGTAATATTATGATACATGAACTATATATATATATTTATATACATCTAAATGAAATTTGGATATTAACTCAAACAAACAAATTAAATTGAAGTATATAATTGAGCCAATGAACTTTAAATACAATTTAAATCTTAGTCAAATTTAGATATATAATTGAATAAAAAATAAATATTAAATTCTTGTATCAAAATATATGTTTACCCATATAATTTATGGGGTACCACGTACCTTAGATAAAGTAAATGAAAACTGACTGTATCAATCACGAATGTTCGTGCCCACGAATTGTAGGCTCGGCTGCAATAGATAACTAACTGCCTCTTTTGAACAGAAATCATATTTCAACCACACTAAGTAGCTGCTAGTTTCCACGTGTCGACGTTTCAATCGCTTATCCCACTTTTTGTACTAAAAGTCTTAAAAGCCCTAAGTAAGAGAGTGTTCGATGGAAAAAAAAGCCCTTTAAACATGTTTCTCCTCAAGTAAATCCCCAAAATACCCAACAAAATGAAAATAAACGGCTACTTTTGATTTAGCCCCTTTACTATGCTAAAATTTTATTTTTTTCCATATATCTTACTTTTTTGGGTATCTCTCATGTCCGTTTTACCGTTCATGTTTAGGTTGCAGATGCTCTTCCCAACCAGGAACATAGTCAGAATCAAACTTCATTGGGCAAATATAAACAGTGACAAAATGAGTCATAACCTAATTATTAAGTACTCAATTTAATATTTGGAAGTTAAGCTATCTTATTCTAATTTGTTTAATTTTAAAATTAATAGGGATTTAGGAAGTATTCAAACTTAAAAAATATTAAGGATAATGACAATTTATATAGTTTTAAAATTGAGAGGGACCGAAAAGCAATTTAATCTAAAACGTTAGAGGGCCAAGACTTAATTTATGTAATTTTGAAATCGTACGTTGTTACTATAATGATAGTAGCTAATAATGTTCATTTAGATATATTATAAAAAGAAATAACTCCAGTGACCGAAAATGTCTTATAAATATATAATTTTAATCAATTTTTTTTATTTTAAAAAATAATCAACAAATTCACAACGCGAACTCCTATTTCATAACACAGTTTCCAAATTCGCAACTCGAACATGAAAATTTTCGCAACGTGAATTTTATTTTCGCAACGGTAATTACCGATATAGGTAAACACAACTATTCGCAACGCGAATTTCGCAAATTAAATTCACCAATTTCGCAACTCAATTACCGATATAGGTAAAAACGGTAGAAAAATCCGGTAAAAAATCCGAATTCGACAATTTGAAAATTGAGTTGCGAATTTGGCAAATTCGTGTTGTGAAATGTAAAATCTCGCCTCTTAAAGAAAAAATTAAAGGACATAAAATGCACTGGAGTTGTTTTACATCACAGTTGCTAAGTCTACGTATGAATCACTCAATTAAACTTACGCCTGTAAATGAATTTAACAAACACGAACAAGGGTATGTTCAAGTTCGTTCGTTTGTTCGTTTAACTTTAACCAAACAAACGAACTGTCGAAATGATTTTTTTCTTTAAGAGGCGAGATTTTACATTTCGCAACACGAATTTGCTAAATTCGCAACTTAGTTTTCAAATTGACGAATTCAGATTTTTGACCGGTTTTTTTCTACCGTGTTTACCAATATCGGTAATTGAGTTACGAAATTGGCTAATTCGATTTGTGAAAACGAAATTCGCGTTGCGAATAGTTGTGTTTACCTATATCGGTAATTAGCGTTGCTAAAATTTTAAATTAGCGTTGCGAATTTGGAAACTGTGTTGCGAAATTAGAGTTCGTATTGCGAATTTGAAATCGCGTTGCGAAAATTTCCATGTTCGAGTTGCGAATTTGGAAATTATGTTGCGAAATAGGAGTTCGTGTTGTAAATTTATTGGTTATTTTTACAAATCTAAAAAAAATTGACTAAAATCGTATATTATAAGGTATTTTCGGTCACTAAAATTATTTTCTCATATTATAAACATTATAATGATAGAGGATCAAATTATATAAAAATTAAGGGACTAAAATAATAAATATACCAAGATAAATTAATCGAAGGACATAAATTCTCCGCCGTTTCCTACTGTTGGCTCATATGAAGCTTCACTAATTCATTTGCATTTCCGTTTCTTTGAAAATCAAAATTCCGATGGCTACGAGCTTCCATGGAGTTGGAGCAGCTGTTGCAGCTTTATCATCATCACCGTCCAATTCTGTTGATTCCAAGAAACTCCTTTGCTCTCATCGCAGATCCTTCCCCGGTTCGACATATTCGATTTTTTCTTTGATTTTCTTGCCTTTTTCATTTCAATTCAGTTTTCTTATAAAAGAAATTTGATTTGATGCAGTGAGGAAAGGAACAAGCCTTGTAGTGGCTAGATCTGAGGGAAGCGTGAGCTTGGATTTTAATCCCAAGGGTCGAAGAGCTCAACAAGTGATTGCCAATGCAGTTGCAGTAATGTTTTTCTCCTCTCCTCTCTCTCTCTCTCCCTGAATTTTAATGTTATAAGTTTTTTTTTGGTTACTAAACTTGATTGTATTTTTGTTTAATTCTTTTAGACCAAATCTGATAGCTCTCCAGCTTCGTCATCTTCGAAACCAGGGTATGGATTTTGTTTTTGATTCATAGTTAACTCTACGAAATGGTTTTACACTGTAATCTGTAGTACTCAATTGCTCAATCCTTGTTATATTATTAAGAAAGTTACAAGCTAGTAGTAGTTAAGCAAATAGTTAAGTGTACTATATTCTTGGCATTGACATTTGACAGTGTTAGAATGGACATTTTAATTTGAGGGAGTCAAATATCGAGATTAATTTTAATGTCGATGTATAATTTTATGGAGTAAATGTAAATCTATAATAAATATTCATCGAGCTTTTTCTTGAAAAAAAAACGATATAAAATTATAATAGCAGATATTGACGCTCAATTTGTAGAATAAATTATTAAAATGATGAGTAAATTAGTAAGATTTTGCACTAATTTATAGAATAAAGTAGGAATGTCTTTGATTTTCGCCAATGTATATTTTCTTATTTTATTTTTATTTGAAAATATTATAAAAGAATAGAGGGAAAAAAATCATGATTTGAGAAATAAGAATAAGCAATAATATTGAAATAAAACTCAATAAAAGACTAAGTTTGTGTATGTATATATATCAATTATATCTTATGACATTTTATTAGCTTTGAAACTTTTAGGAGAAGCAATATTTTAACAAATAAATTTAAATTTATATATGTGTAATTTCTGTTTATGATAATTTAAGTTGTATATACAAAATTTATACTTGTTATCAAAGACGGACACATAATTTTATGTCAGGAGTACGAACTTAAGAAGTTATATTTGAAATTTAGGAGTATGAAATTAGACAATCAATAGAAAATATAAACAAAATACCTAAAATATAAGGCAATTTGAAATTTTTAGGGGTGTCTGTTGTCACCATCTTGTCTTTTGTTTCGTTTTCATGAACGGATGTTAGCATCTCTTATCAGTGGTATATCTAAGTAAATCTATGTTGTAACTCCAGGCATGAGCTTTTACTTTTCGAAGCTCTACGAGAGGGTTTGGAAGAAGAAATGGATCGGGATCCCCGTGTATGTGTCATGGGTGAAGATGTTGGTCACTATGGAGGATCATACAAAGTGACCAGAGGATTGGCTGAAAAGTATGGGGACCTCCGGGTTCTCGACACCCCTATTGCAGAGAACTCATTCACTGGCATGGGAATCGGAGCTTCCATGACCGGTCTGAGACCAGTTGTCGAGGGTATGAACATGGGATTCCTCCTCCTTGCTTTTAATCAGATCTCCAACAACTGTGGTATGCTTCATTATACATCCGGTGGCCAGTTCACTATACCGATAGTCATTCGTGGGCCTGGCGGTGTCGGACGTCAACTAGGGGCTGAGCACTCTCAACGTCTCGAATCATATTTTCAGTCAATCCCTGGAATCCAAATG